GGCAGTGGTGTGCTGCTCTTTGATAAGCAGGTAGAGGTGTCCTGCAAAGGAATTGGAAACAAGAAAAAATATACAAGAGTGCCTAAGCCTTATACAATAGGAGAGGATGTTCCTGGAAATAAAAATTACAATGTTGCACTTGGGTGTTGGGAAAAATAGTAAATGTAACATTTATCAAACTGCAAAGGAAAGCTCCGTACTGTTAAACAATCACACTTGGTTATATGAAGTTGATTGTAGCAATGTGTGCATCTGTGATCGGGGCATAAAACAACATAGCAGTACAGTGGTCATGTAGTACTGCAACACAGGTAGGAAAAAAGATGAACTATGCATATAGTTCAGGTATAGTTGCACACACATGGACCTGGGGTCTTATGTTCAAATGAAGCAGCGGTAGAAAATGACTCTGATGATATCTTGGGCAATGAAAAACCAGCAGCTGGGTCCGGTGAGGAGATGCCTCCGGATAGGAGCTGGAACCTGGGTCTAGAAGGGATGAAAACTCTATCTATCTGTGAAGGCTGAAGTGGGGAACTGGACAGATTAGCTGCTGTAGAAGAGCCGGTGTAGCTGGAGCGCGGGTTATTGAAAAATATTGGTTTTTGTAAGGCTGCTAAAGGATGCGTGGAGGATGAAAGGGCACAAGGGGATCTGCATGCGAGGAGAAGGTTGGGAATCAGGAGCAGCCTGTGGGAGCAAGGGAAATGGGATTGGGAAACCAATGACAGAAGGCGGCAGCTGTACTGCTAAAAAGCCTGTAAAAAGTCATACCATAAATACATTTTATAATGCTTTGTATGTTATAGATTATGTTAAACATTAGTGCCCCCTGTCTGATCATCTATGTCACTGCTATTGTGGGTTGAAGGACCAGTCAGTCTAACAGGTGTTACTGTCTTATATGCACAGATAACAGTAGTTTTAATGAAAGGAAAGATGATCCTTCCAACAAGGCACCTGGTGATCTACCATACTACAAACATAAGTTAGCACCTTTTAAGCAGAAATCAGTTTTCTAACTGGCTAACCTGCAAGGGGATTGCAGAGCATTTAATTGGCATAGTGCTCCTGCTGTAGCCATGGGGCAGGTAGCCTGGCCTGGCATACCTCTCAACTTTTAAAGATAGGAAAGAGGGACAAAATATTAGTTTAAAAGCCATGCCCCTTTCATGTCCTGGATCGTGCAGACTATGAAGAACTAAAGAGCAAATATGACCAGACCAAACAGAGGGACATCTGTGGAAGAAAGGGGGACAACGGGATTTGCTTCCCAAAGGGGGAAAATACATCCAAACAATGGATAGTTGAGAGCAATGGTCTGGGAGGATAACCGGAAGTTGGTTGATAGTGAATTTATGTTTGCCTTTCATCTACTAATAATCCAAGCATTTGTGGTCAATATGTCAGGTAAACACAGAATAAATAACTGCTCAGCATACTTGCAACATTTTCCTGTATGCATTTTCCCTCAGGCTTGACACAGATTCATAAGTGCATGTACAACCCTGGTGACTCTGGTTGAATCACCTGAGGATGTAAGTGCTACACTAGCTATGTACAAGTTTAGCACTTGCAACAGTGGTTGTTACACATAAGCAGTATACATTTATATATGTAGTATGGCAGCACATAGGCTATCTGTTGTCATGCTTCTGTTTTCAGTCTGAGAAGAGTTATCCTTTAATTGTATTACAATTCCACTCAGCCATTGGAGCCAGTCAGCAAAGACTGAAGAATAATGGCTCATGTGCTTATCCAGGGGAAATCTGACTGTAACAAATTAACAGAATCACAAAGAGGCTTTTTTTAATCAATAATTTGTGTAACTGACCCACCATACGTTTATCTGTGCACTATGGCATGTATTACGACAAATGTATCTTTCTAGTTTCAGTGTTTTTCATTTTAAACTTCTACCCATGTTATAGCTGAGTCAGAGTATGTATTGAAATCAATTCACCACTACATCTCATTATCGAAGTAGAGTTTCTGGGGATGAGTTACTAAAGTCAAATAGGCTATTCACTTTACAAGGGAATTTTCACTTTGCAAGGGTATTTCCCCTTAGCTTAGTGAATGAGGTGAAGACCCACTGACTTCCATTATCCAATCAAGTGCAAACTAAAATACAGTTTTTTTCCTTGTATTCTTTGCAAAGTGAATTTTTCCCACATTCACTAAGCTAAGGGAAAATTCCCTTGCTAATTGAACTTTCACCACATTCACTAAGCTAAGGGAAAATTACCTTGCAAAGTGAATTTTCACCACATTAATTGAGCTAAGGGAATATTCCCTTGCAAAGTGAATAGCCTATTTGCATTTACTAAATTAACCCATCTGGCTTTAAACTTTGCACACTGCACATAATCTACATACTGTCTATGTATGCTGGCCTGAATCATTTTAAGTCTTATACGATCTTAAAAAAAAAAAAAAAACACCTTTCACCGCCGCAGAGCTGACATTGCATGCAGCATTTCTGCCGCAGAGTAGGGCCTATCTAAAAACATGCTGCTTTTTATCTGTCCAGCTCTGCAGATAAATAATTTTTTCCTGTTGACATTTTTTATGTGAACATTATTAGTCAACTTTGACTACATCCAATTGTTCACACTTTTTGTAAAAGGTTTTAATTCATTGTGCTATAAAATAATCTTATGATATGTAACAGTCTATTTTTCTTAGTTCGATATACTCTTGTATGTCTAAGCTGTGGCTTTACCTTTTTGTATGATTCATTCATCCATTTTCTCTTGTGGAGGCTCTTAATTTCACTCTAAACACTATTGCTGCAGATGTGTCCTGCTCAATCTATAAAATCAAACCTATTGCATCTCATTTCTCTGAATTCTTACAAAAGAAACATTGTTATAGATTTCTGTCTGTGAAGAATTATTACGAAGGTGTCCACAAAGAAAATATTTGATTTTTTTTTTTAATAGAATGAAACTACAGAAGAAATGAAACAGGAATCATTATTAGACCTGGATTTTGATCCTTTCAAACCAGAGGTTGCATCAGCTGGAATAACACAATCACATTCACCAATGTCTCAGGTATGTACTACTGCTCAATTCTATACATTTTCAAGTAGCACTTGTCAAGCTACAGGTTTTACATTGTTTATCTGCGCAAATAAAAATCTATCAGGCTTCAGTGTTTATTTGACCATGATGGATTGCAAAATGTAAGACGATGTATGCTAGTAAACACATGGGAGTAGAAACCAGTACAGGTATTCCTCACTTAACGACCGAGTTCCGTTCCTACGACCAGGTCGTTAAACGGATTGGTCGTTAAGTGAGAAACTCTATACAGTACTATACTGCATTAGTACAGTACTGTATAGCGTTGCCGATGTACAGTACCAAACAGTGTACTGTACATCCGGCAATGGAAATACTTACCGAGACCTGCAGTGAAGATCGGGGGATGTCACTTACGTGTTACAATCCAGCTGTACAATCTTTATACATTCTTCTTTAGGACCTGTGTCAAAGGTCTTAGAGCTTGTGTCATTGGCATCAGTCTGACATCAGTTTGAGGCTTTGAAGATCATTTGAAATTCATTGACAGTTTGACATTTGACCTGCAGTTGACTAAGTTCTGACTCTGCATCTGACCTGCTTTAAGCAGTTTTAGCATCCCTTAGACTTGTGTGGGAATGCAAAACCCATTTAAAGTGAACTAAAGCCCATTGACACCGACCCTTAGACTTATCAGGCAGGATTGTCACTTTCTCACAGGTGATAATGCATCTTGTTATATTTCTAACTGTTCTTCTATTTGAGGAGGAACAGTTAGGAATGTCCCTATTTTAGGACCAAATCCCTCTTTCCATCTTTCCTCTGAAATTGTCCTTCTTTACGTCTAATGTAGAGATCTGTAAATTTAACTATTACTACTACTACTACTACTTCCTACTCAATAAAAAAGACCAGTCCTGAGCTTTAAGTTTCCACTTAGAAACTTACAGCTATAGCAGCTACAGCAGAACACAACCTTTTACAATGCTGCAACAATGCAGATGCACAGAACACATCATCATATAAGCACTGGTCCCTTTAACTCTAATTAGCAAGCTGTTATGCTAAATATTTCCCCAGGGGATTAGGACAATATTTGCTCCTCTCACATGCTAGCTCCACTGCCGATAAACAAAGGACTCATTCAGATTTATATTATTCAATAAACATATTTATCCCCTGTCCATCTGCATAAGATGGAATAAATGGCAACCCCAAAGTGTCTGAGATTAACCCAGACAGTTGTATCACAAGTAGACTACCGTGTGTTACTTTAGAGGCCATTTATGACTTATGGCTAATTTGCTAACCACCATACTGCAACTTCCCATCCTGTGATACCCTGATGTTTACATATTCAGTATGCTATATAAGGAAATATGGCTACATTACACTAGAATATTCCTGAGAGAAACACTATTTATGGACCGTAAAGCAATAACCATCAAATGGATGAAACCATTTCCTCCCACTATAGCCCAGTGGATATAATTGATTAATCACATTTTCCCTTATGAGAAAATTGCCCTAGGCATTCTTGTGAGTGATGCATATTGGATAACTTCTTTTATGATATAACTTTGCCTTAGTTAAATGACTATACAAAGAAACCACAGGAGATTCAGTATTCTGATGACATTGTAAGTTCATTGTAACAGTTTTCATTCATAAGACATTGGTATTATGTGCTATGCTATGTTTGTGAGCTCCATAAACCAAGTTAAAAAAAAAACATTGGTTGCTACCAAGTGCTTCTCCTTGGCAATGTGTGGCCAACCATATATAAGTATTTTTATATATTTTTTATATATTTACTTTTTTTTCATGGATTTGCTGGATAGAATAGCAGTTTGGAATATTTATATCTATACCAATATGGACCTCATATTGTGACCCCGTGTTCAGTGGGTCACTAGATTCCTTCTACTTTTCTAGGTGGGAGGCTCCTCAGCCTACCATGCATTCTGGAGTGGGAGTTGTGCTGCCATTCATTTGAATGGCACCCCAAATGCACCTTCCACCAACAGTTTGATTGCCCGCTTCGGAAACGCTCTGTACCGCAATGCTTTAGTGCAGTGCAACTTGGGTCACGACTTAATGACCAAGGGCAAATGTGGGTTCTGAGGTTACACCGGTTGAGAACCACTGCTTTAAACTACACACTACAAAGCTACCAGCAAGCATTTATGTAGTCTCAGGTACCTATCAAGCTGGAGACATACTTGCATGGACAACAGCAGAAACAGAGCTACAATTAGTATAAATGAGGATGCTGGAGAGTATTACAGGACAAGAGAAGTTAGGCTGGGTATAAAGAATGCCCTTGAATATACTGTAGATGAACTAAGAATAAAGATACATTTTTGGTGTTACAGTTGTTGGGCTAAAGGAAGATACTCAACCAAATGCTAATGGATGATATGTTTTATGGGAAAATTATGCTGTACATATAGATCGAATGTCAAATCCAAATATAGATCAAAAAAATTCCAATTCAACTCACTTTCCTGTTCAGCTATGCTGTCCTAGATTGTTCACTTCTCCTGCCTTTTCCAAACTCACCTTTTTTGTGAATAACCCTGTTAGAAAAAATAGGTTAGATGAAAACATATGTATAAAAGAAAAAACAATTATATAATGTATATTTTTAGGGGAATAAATAGTGATCAATATACAAATTCTACATGATGTAATATAGTGTAATATAATAAAAACATAATATCATACACCTATTGAATTCTACAGAATATTCATAACCCCAACTGACCACAAGATGGCATTAAAGGTCTCAAATTATTTTATACAAAGATTTGTTTATGGTTCTAAAATAATCAAAAGAGGGCACTAGTGATCCATTTATTGTGTTACCGGGACAGTCCTAATTATAACCATGCAAAGAAGCTACCTATGAAACAATTATAAAATACTGCTTACAATCAGCTCTTCAGTTAAAACATTTTCATATAGTGTAATTAAGGTGAAAATCTTGTAATATCATTGATTACATAGCTTACTGTACCTAATCACCTTCTGATAAGTGTGCTGCATCTTCAAAGCTTTAAATATGACATCTGGTGTAATCTGAATCCTAAGCTCAACATACGTGTTACAATCCAGCTGTACAATCTTTATACATTCTTCTTTAGGACCTGTGTCAAAGGTCTTAGAGCTTGTGTCATTGGCATCAGTCTGACATCAGTTTGAGGCTTTGAAGATCATTTGAAATTCATTGACAGTTTGACATTTGACCTGCAGTTGACTAAGTTCTGACTCTGCATCTGACCTGCATTAAGCAGTTTTAGCATCCCTTAGACTTGTGTGGGAATGCAAAACCCATTTAAAGTGAACTAAAGCCCATTGACACCGACCCTTAGACTTATCAGGCAGGATTGTCACTTTCTCACAGGTGATAATGTATCTTGTTATATTTCTAACTGTTCTTCTATTTGAGGAGGAACAGTTAGGAATGTCCCTATTTTAGGACCAAATCCCTCTTTCCATCTTTCCTCTGAAATTGTCCTTCTTTACGTCTAATGTAGAGATCTGTAAATTTAACTATTACTACTACTACTACT